CCAGGCCTTAGCTTTCGTTTCCCTGATGTGCCCTCTCTAAGGACAAAAAACAATGGTATTAGACTGTGCAGTATTATCCATCTTCATTGCTATGATACTGCACTTTGTTAATGGGAAGCTTCCCAGCAGTGTGGAAATCATCTATCAGGCAGATGGCAAGCTATTTATTTGAGTCGCCTAAGGGCTGAGAAAAGCGGTATAGAAATAAAGTAAATAAATAAATAAATTTAACCTTAGCAGACTGAAAGCCAAAGCCAAGTTCACAACAACATCTGTTACAGAACCCAAATATGCTGATGATAATGCCATCTGTGCTCATTCAGAAAAAGACCTACAAGCAACTCTAAGCACCTTTGCAGAAGCATACTAATAACTTGGCCTCATACTGAACATCAAGAAAACCAAAGTGCTGTTTCTGCAGGCACCAGCTAATCCCTCTCCAATGCCAGAAATACAGCTTAATGGTGTAACATTAGAAAATGTTGACCATTTCCGCTACCTTCTCCACAAAAGTCAATATTGACACCCAAATACAACACCGCCTGAGCTCTGTGAGTGCAGCATTTTTCCGAATAAAGCAGAGAGTGTTTGAGGATAGGGACATTCGTAGGGAGACCAAGATGCTTGTTAATAAAGCTATTGTCCTTCCAACCCTATTATATGCCTGCAAAACATGAATCTTCTACAAACGTCACACTCAACTTCTGCAACAATTCCATCAGTATTGCCTCCGAAAAATCCTGCAAATCTCTTGGGAAGACAGGTGGGCAAATGTCAGTGTTCTGGAACAAGCAAAGACCACTAGCATTGAAACAATGATCCTCCACCATCAACTTCATTGGACTGGCTACGTTGTCTGAATGCCCAATCAGCTAAGGCAGTGGTTCTCAACCTGTGGGTCCCCAGGTGTTTTGGCCTACTGATATCGAGCGGCTTTTAGGAGGATCTCCCCAGCCGAGGAGATCCCAAGGACCGCACCAAAGAGGGTCCCTGAACCTTGGTGAGGGCAGTGAAGCCAATTCCAGCAGAAAATATTAAAATAATAAATCCCCACCAAAGCAGAAGAAGCTGGCGACCGAGGTGTCTTTATTAGCGATTCAGCTGAGATCGGATGCATTGCAGGGATAGTTCCACTACAAGCATAGCAATACAGAATTTACAGGCATTTTTTATAGGCAAAATACAGGTTTGAAAGTTTCAAAACTCCCTCCCTCTTCGGTTCCTTAGCAAATCAGGGAGAGGGAGGCAGGACAGAAGAGGGGCATTGTGTCCAGAGAGGATGATGACAGTCCTGTGCCCGAGTGATCAGCCAGCCAAGGAAAACAGTTTTTTTGTTCTTGTGATGGATCAGTGATTAGGGATAATCATTTGATTCAGGTTTTCCCCTTCCAAGATCAGATAAGGTAAAAGGTGAGGCTGAGAAGGATGTTTGTTGTGAAGGAAAACTTGGCAGAGGAAATCACAGTCTGATGACCCCCTCCTAAAGTCAAATAGTAACTCCAGGTCCCATTGTTCAGATGTGAGTTCCAAGTAAATAGGTGTTTTTGTGATTCCTGATTGCCTTTTCAGCCCAGCGGGCCGCTCCCTGATCAGCCTCCCAAAGGGCAAAAGAGTTCATGGCTGGGTTAGACTTGTGAAGGAAATACATAGAAGAAACGTATATAGATCAATCACCCCTTCTCCATCCCACCCACCAGAGAAATTTAATAAAGAAATTATTTTCAAGCAATGTGAGTCCATGAGCGGGAAAGATGTCCTTGTGAGTCCAAAATTAGGCAGAGCTGCCACGCTGGGATCGAAGCTGGTCCCTGGGAAACTACAACTCTCATGGAGGGCAGAAGTCCCAAGATCCAGCCGTTTCCCAAAAGCCTCGTGGGGTCCTTGTTGTTGTCAGTGCTTTGGCAATGTGACCAAGACTTAACCCTTGTTGTGTAGTCTGGTGCCCTTGCCCTTTGCAGAACTATAAGTCACTATCCCTTATTTGGGGGGGGGGTGCTCAACATCAAATCCCAGAAATCCCAGCCAGTTTACCAGCTATTAGGATTTCTTGGAGTTGAAGGCCGAAACATCTGGGAACGCACAGGTTGAGAACCACTGGGTTAGGGGGACAGAACTTCTGCAAAAATGGTGAAACCATCCAATGGGTGTCCATGGCCAAATGAGGATGCAAACACTGGACTCCAGAGTAAAAATTAAGTGCTCAAACCACTCTACCCCACTGGCTCTCCTATCCTCTGGTCTGCCCCAAGTTCTTTCCCTTCCCATCTGTTTTTCTGCAAGTTTTTGTCCTCTCCTGTTTTGAATCACCTGCCACTCTCCGGCCCCTTCTACACTGCCATGTAATCTGGATTATCAAAGCAGATAATCCACATTATCTGCTTTGAACTGGATTTTATGAGTACATTGCCATATAATCCAGTTCAAAGCAGATAATCTGGGTTTTATATGGCAGTACAGAATGGGCCTCCATCACTCTGCTATCCACCATTATTTCACTGATCTGCCTTGCCCAAAAATGCACCAATATCAAACTGAAAAGCAGCAGCGGGTACTCCAAGACTACCATCACTTTGCCACAAACAAAAAATCAACAGAAAAAAAATGCACAACAGTTAAAAAGCACTCAGTGGAAACCACATTAAGTAAAAATATTGCAAAACGGTCTCCTTCTGCCATAAATTATTATCCAGAGCTTCTTAATTAGAAGAATTAGGTTGCAAAGGGACTTTGCTTCCACAACAAGCTGTAGCAATTATCAAGAAATGTCTGGTTGTTCTACATTTTACTATTTTATACGTCATGGAAAAGTTCCTGGAATATAGCAGCTCAATATAACCTCTCCCCTGGGCAGCTAAAGATTGAGATCTGTAAACCTAATTAAGTATAGGAAAGTGAAGTAAGTACTGATTGATATACTCCTGAGATATCTAATTGTTTTAAATGTGTACCAAACAATCACGTTTCTGCAACAGGATCTGAAATATTCCATCTGCTTGAATTACTCCCCTGGAAGTATTGAACTGAAGGATTTAAAAATCCTTTATAAAAATGATTTAAGTGAACAAACAGGTTCTTATACCTTTGAAACTTGTCAGATATTAATAAATAATTGATTGATTGATTAGACATTAATTCAGCATAATAGCAGATAATAGGAAGATTCTGTTACATTAAGTCGTAGCAGGATCAAGTGTGTGTTAAAGAAAAACCTTATGATGTTAATTATTATGTACAGCTGGTAATGTAGGTCAGCCAGCATGTTTGGGCCACACCTGGTGGGGTATAACTGTATGGATTTTAGAAAACAGTTTGGAGAACCTGTAATGCTGCTATGCTCTAACAGCGACGCTTTTGCTATGGTGGAATAGCTATTTACTCAAGGTTTATGTTTTGCTCTCTCATTTGAATGAAGATGAAGAAGCCTTATTCTGTGTTACTTACAAGGACTATGTAAGTTTGTTGCACTGTTTGATTTTGTATGCAACACTGCAAGTTTATGCCTCTGCTGATAAGAGTAAAGTTTTTCTGTTCCTTTTTCCTCTTGTTTGTGTGTCTTTTGCATGGAACTTGGCTAAAACACGCTTTGTGCAACAGATTCTTCCACTGAAACTGATTCTCGTGAGCATATATAAAAACCAGTATTGAACATATGAATGTCTTTCCATGTAAACTTAAAAAGAACTATGCTGCAAAGAGGAATGTACTTTGCCAGTTTTCCTCCAAACAACTACCTATTTCATTAATGACCCTGGGCCATCTATATAAATAAAAATGTAATGTTTGTTTGTGGTATTCACAGAACTCAAAAACCCCTGGACGAATTGACACCAAATTTGGACAGCATACACCTAACAACCCAATGTATGTCCTTCACTCAAAAATTTTGATTTTGTCATTTGGGAGTTGTAATTGCTGGGATTTATAGTTCACCTACAATCAAAGAACATTCTGAACTCCACCAATTATGGTGTTAAACCAAATGTGGCATACAGGACTCCCATGACCAACAGAAAACACTAGAAGGGTTTGGTGGGCATTGACCTTGAGTTTGGGAGTTGTAGTTCACCTACATCCAGAACGCACTGTGGACTCAAACAATGATGGATCTGGACCAAACTTGGTACAAATATTCCATATGCCCACCGCTTTGAGTTGCCTGGGGGCTGAGAAAAGCGATATATAAATAAAGTAAATAAATAAATAAATAAGAACACAGATGGAGTTTGGGGGAAATAGACCTTGACATTTGGGAGTTGTCGTTACTGGGATTTACAGTTCACCTACAATCAAAGAGCATTCTGAATCTCACAAACGACATAATTGGGGCAAATTTCTCACACAGAACCCCCATGACCAACAGAAAATACTTAAGGCCATCCAGTCCAACTCTCTTCACCAGGGCAAGAAAACGTATCAGAGCCCTCCTGGCATAGAGCCATCCAGTCATAAATAGAAAGATATGATTCACACACACATAGAGATATAGTATCATAGATTTGAAAGGGACCTCTAAAGAAGGATTATAATATGTTGTATGTTCCAGAGTAGGCAAACCAGACACTCTCCACATCAACACTGACAAAGAAACAACAAGAAATACTGTTTACCCACAAGCATAAAGAAACTACATAGATTAGAAACCAATACTTTCTCATTACTTTATTTTCCAGATCACCAGACTGGGCCACAGCAACGCGGGTATGGCTAGTATGCATATATGCATTCATTCATTCATTCATTCTTTTCAGATTGCAACATATGGTTCACAGAATTATAGAAAATAATAGAGTTAGAAGAGTCGTGCCCCTTGCCATGCAGGAAAAGCACAATCATAAATATGGGGGAAAATAAGTTTTGAATTATAACTCCCAGTATCCTCTAATTAGCATGACCAATGGTGATGCTGTTTGGAGAAACTGAGGAGTTAAAGCCTCTGAAATAATGGTTTCCACATTATGACTGAGAAAAATCAAGGAAGGTCCTTTACCGTATGTACATACCTCGCATCTGCTACTGTTGCTCTAACCACTGCCCAGGCCACTACAAAGATAGCTGGGAAGCCTACGGGTATGAAAAAAAAATATTGCCAACTGTTAGATCACATATACCCCAAGGAAGGAAGTGGTAATTTGAATGCCTTTTCTTCTCATGTGGATAAAAAGTAACACAACAATTTTGGAAGAACATGGGGGGGGGGGGGGGAATGAAAGGCATAAACCCTCTTTGTCAATGAAGCAAAACTTTTGAAATGCCACAATCCAAACCAAGAAGAACAAAAACTTTGGTTATTTCTAGACCTTGCAATTTGCAAGGAATCAGCATTGTGGATTCAAATGTCAATCAAATATCAGTCATGTGACCCAAAGCACCATCTAAGGCAGATGAAGAAAACCAGACTGCTTTAGATATACTAGCAGGTTGTGCCCAAAAGTAGAAGCTGACACTGCAGGATTGCAACATTGAGGAAGAATATGCAGCCATGCCTACTAGGTCCAAATCTAATCCTTTTTCTCCATTTATACCCCCGACCATTCCTTGCAATACAGATTGACTTCTAGTCTAGTGGAGATGCCTGACTAAGATTGAATCACTATAATGTATTAGTCCAACATTCAAACACACTGTTGTTGAGTGAACATGAGACTGAAGCTATTGATTCATATTCATTTTTATATATTTGTATAACACATCTTGATATAATATCTTTTAACTCAAATCTTTCATCTTTTGGAGACCAGATCTAAGTCAAAGCATAACATTTATTAACCTGATTTTTAAAAAAAAATAGGTTTATGCGTGAAACAAAACTCGGATACATTGAACCATCAAAAACTATGGGGTCACTAACTCATTAACCCATGTTTACACAAATTAACTATCCTTTAATGATGTGGCACCAGATTACCCACCCGCAATGAGACATTGAACTTTGCTTGTTGGTTTTGATGTTCGTTTTATACACTGTTTAATGTTTTTGTTTCTATTTTGTTATATTGCTTTTTGTTATTATTTTGTTGATATGCATTCTAATGTGTTATGTTTTAACTGTTCTGCTGGGCTTGGCCCCATGTAAGCCACCCCATTTCCCTTCGGGGAGATGGAGGTGGGATATAAAAATAAAGGTTTTTTTAATTGTTATTATTTTTAATAATAATTTTTATTATAAATGAGATATAACAGATTAAAAAAAAGAAAACATTGAAAGTGGGGGAACATATATTTAGAGAAAAGTAGGAAATTTGAAAAAAAGGATGAAGAAGAGAGAGAGAAATAAAAAAATAAAAAAATAAATAAAGATTTAGAAATTTTGGTGGTTTCCATTCTTCTTCCTTATGTTCAAGTCTATTAGTTTTCCCATTCTATCAAGTTTTTCTTTCCCGATATTCATCTACTTTTAGTTTACAGATTTCTTTCCCTTCTTATACTATATTTGATGTTGCATCTTCATATATTCTTCAAAGATTGACCAATCTGTCATTTTCATGCTTTTGCCAGTATTTTTCTTTAACAGAAATGTAAGTCTGTCTATATCTCTAATATCTTATCTAGCCAAAGTTCCTAACGTTGTTGTTGTTGTTAGGACGATTTTGGATTTTGAAATTCAGAATCACGGATGTTCAACCTATATAGTGTGTGTGTGTGTGTGTGTGTGTTTGCTGTACTGTTTTGAAATGTGACTTGTAACTTGACAGCTATATTTCTGTGAAAATTCTGTAATTTTGAACAGTATTTTATTTATTTACTGCATTTGTATACCGCCTTTCTCAGCCAGAGGCGACTCAAGGCGGTTCTTGAGTCGCCTCTATATGAAGCCATCTAGTAGTGGTCTACTTACCCTTGAATCTTCTTCTTTGACTGGTCTCTGCTATATGTGTGTGTGTGTGTGTGTGTATGAACTGGAGTTGTGCCAGGCGAAAACTGGCAAAGTTTGATTTTGGGTCTTTTGATTTTCTAAAGGGGAAGTACCTGTTGTCCCTTAATCCTCTTAATTCTGGATATTTGCCTTCTAACTCATTGTTATTAGGGATGATCCTTACGTTGAGGTCACCCAATAAGTATAGATATGAGCTAGGAAATTTAGTTATTATTGAGAGGAGGTACTTCTCTAGTTTACCCCAGATTTCTTTGATCTGATTTTTGGATTGTGTTTGTGTTTTAAGCAATGTTTAACTGTTGTTAATTTTACCCATCTGTGTGCCCAAGCTACAGGTTGTTCTTAATCTGATTGCCAGCATACCTTGAGGCTGAAACACACCAGCACTTCTTGTAGCTTTTTACCCTTGTTTTTAGCCAACATATATTTTAAGCAGCTTTTAATGTTTGCAAATAGGATGTTCCTAATGTCATTACCTGTATAACTTGTAATAAGGGTCTCTGGACCATAATAAAATTTACCTACCTACCACTCTACAGATATATATATACACACACACGCGCGCACATACACACACACATGTGTGTGTGTGTGATTGCGGTGTGTGCACACTCCATATATATATATATATATATATATATATATATATATATATATGCACATGCATGCGTGAGCGGACACACACACACACACACATATATATATATATATGGAGTGTGCACACACCGCAATCACAACTGGCTCTGGCATGTCACTTTCAATTTTGGGAGGTAGTCACCCTTTTTTCCCATGCTCATTCATTCCTGAAACCCTTTTGTGAGTAGGATAGGGTGAAGCTTCATTATACTGTATGTGTTGCAAACAGAGGCGGCCCTAGGTAATTTTCAACGGTAAGAGCCGCCGCAAACTAGCCTCCTGCGGGAGCAAACTGTGCCAGCACGTCCATGACGTCATGAGACTCCGCCTCTCTCTCCGCCCCTTTGAATTCTGCCAACAACGAGAGTACGCTGGCAATGCTGCCCTAGCAAAGGAAAAAACACTCTGGCACGGAGAGAGAGGCTGGCACGGAGAAAGAGGCGGAGAAAGGGGCGGAGAGAGAGGTGCAGTCTCATGACATCAGGGATATGCTGGCACAGTTTGCTCCCGCAGGAGGCTAGTTTGCGGAGGCTCTAAGCAAACAGTATTTGTGCCCCCCCCCCCCCCAACCAATCACTGATATATATTTTCTGTTTATCGTGGGAGTTCTGTGTGCCATATTTGGTTCAATTCCATCATTGGTGGAGTTCAGAATGCTCTTTGATTGTAGGTGAACTATACATCCCAGTAACTACAACTCGCATATGTCAAGGTCTATTTTCCCCCAAGAGCGCCTCAAGAGGACCCCTGGGCAAAATCAACTATACTGCAAATGCTTACTTTGCGTAATGGGTTGAGCCGCCCCTGGTTGCAAAAACTACACAGAACATGAAGGAGATATGTTGGGGACAAAACCTTAACAAGGTGCTAAGTTGGTTTGTCCCGCTTTTTTTCTTTCATTTTCAATTCTTCACTTTCCACTTTGTCTGCTGGCAATCTAAACCTTTAGCTAGACAGTAGCAGTTTCTTGTTTGGCCACACACTTTGTAAACGCAAACGCACTTGATCTACTGGAAATCCATACTCTGGGTAGAATTAACTGTGGCTCCTTCAGAGTTTGAGTTCTTCTGCAAAAATAACAAATTGCTTTCTATCCAAGTAAAGTGCTACACTCAAGAAGTACATCAAATAATGTGCATTAGAACTTCAATGGGTGTGATGCACATTGACGTACTCCTTGATCTTAGCACTTTATGTGAAAGTAAGTCCTGCTGACTTCAAGGAATTGTGTTTGTTTTCAAGTATACTGAAGACAATAGATAGAGGACGTGGATCACATATAAAATGGAACAGAAAACAGCATTTTCTTTCTTTTCTTTGTTTCTTGGATTAGCATTCTGTATAAATTTAATAGCTTCAAACTCAAAGAAAAACGCACTGAACATTTATTTTCAATGGTATTTGAATATACAAAATAAAATTAACGTGCTGCCTCTTGTTTGAAAGGATTATCAAGTTTTGCAGTACTTCAAAAGCTTTCACAGCAATTTAAACAGCCACTATAATGAGAATATGCAAGAAACACTTATTTTATGATCGCTTAAAAACTATTTGTTCCTACCCAAAATGCTTTAAGGGTCCTTCCCTCAATATCAAGGCAAAAAATCCCACAATATATGCTTTGACATGGGGTTATCTGTGTCCACACTGCCATATATTCCAGTTCAAAGCAGAAAATGTGGGATTTTACTCAGCTGTGTGGAAGGGGCCTAAAAGTGACCATGCATGAAATGACTAGAAATATATAATTCCGTGTCCATATAATTCCGTGTCTATTCCCAAATTATCTGCTTTGAACTGGAATATATGGCAGTGTGGAATTGAAGAAGGTAATAAGTGATTTTTACAATAGCTAAGCTTTAGTAAAGAAACATAAGAAATGTACCCCTCCCTGTAGAAAAGGAGCAGCACGTCAACAAGGAGGAAAATGTTTTAAAAACAAGAGGTCATGCTATATGTCAGAATATTAAGTTGCTAACTGCTCGATTTACATAGGAAATGGTTTTATGTGGTGAGGCGCAAAATAGAAATTGTGGTTTTGACAGCCTAATGTTTGGATGCAGGTGCGAGAAGGGGCTTTCTATCAAAAGGTCAAGGGAGGAGGGCTGGAAAGAGGGTACTTTCCATGACAAAAAAATGCCCCCATGTTTACCTGACTATAAAGGTTTGCAAAAAGCCAAGGAGGGGCGTGGCAGCCTGTGGGAGCACTTGTAGAAGTGCTGTCTGTTCACCTCTTGGTGATCAGCTTGAATAAACGGTGTTTTACCTGAACCTATTGGACTCTGTGGACTTCTTCGAAAGGGACCCCGCACCCTAAACCCATGTTCCCTTACAGAATCAGATAACCCAGTTCCGAGCAGATACTGTGGGATTTTCAGCCTTTATTTTCTGGGTTATATAGTAGGCCTGGGTAACAACGGAAAAATTTGTTTCTAAAATCGATTCGTTTTTTGGGGGTTTTTTGCGTTTCGTTATTTAAAATAATTACAAAATTTTCCTTTTAAAAAGTTCGATATTTACGAAATTTCGTAAATGTGAAAAAAATTACAAA